GTGGTCATGCTGCTCATGCTGCAGGAGGACATCACCTCGGAGAAGTGCAGACAGGTGCGTGTTTGCGCTCTTCAGATACTCCTGATACTCCTGATTCCTCGATTCTATTCGAATATTCGATTAAAAAAAAATCCTTGATTGCATTTTACCCGTATCGAGTAATCGGCAAAATGCCGGAAGTGGCGCATTCCACACATTAACCCCATTTAAAAATCATAAAAAAAGCATAATGCTGTTGTGAATTCACAAACGCTACGATTCAGTTAAATAAATACATGCGATGCAGGTTTAATATATGCGCTTTATTTACATGTGTGTAGTAGGTTACGTACATACGGCTCTGTTCACAGTAAATGCTGCTCCACACAAACTGTTATCATTTACATGTGTGGAGCGTCTCAAACTCAGTCTCTGCATGTTGCTGTGAGTTTGGGTTTATTATAACGTTCATCTGGGAACGCAACGTGCGCTTTTACATCAGATGTGTAAGTTAAATCATTTATAAATCTACGCAAACGCAGGAGAATACATCAATATCTTTCTCAATATGCTAACTGTTCATCGCGATTTCAAAATAAAAGTTTAAACCCTCACTCTGAGTTCGCACGTTTTGATGTCCACATATTCAAGAAATTAAAGTGGCTGTAGCTTTTCTATTATAAAGAAATGGCCAAATATTAAAGATTAAGCGGACAGTTGAATTACATTTTGTTGAGTCATTATTAAACAAGGATTGAAGACCTTACTCAATGCATGTTCTGCAAGATTCTCCTTTCTGTCAAACATATTTTATTGGATTGTCCCACTTTTAATATATGTATTTAGTATAATTTTGCCAGAAAAAGTACAAAAAAAAAAGTATCGTATGTTAATGTAAAAATATTTTTTTTCTGGTTTTTATTGTATTTGATATACTTGTATTTTTTAAAATTGTTTTTGCCATGAAAATAGCCTATGATGCTGACATGGCATTAAATAAAAATATACTACTACTATTAAACAAGGATTAGATCGTGCAGTAAAGTATAAAACAATTGTCAGGCTGTTGGCGCCCTCTGCAGGCATTTGTTATAATGCGTAATGTACATTAGCTCTATTGTTTATAATACAATATGTATTTTAACAGTTTTGTTTAATAAAACCATATGATCACTTGCTTTTGATACTTTTTTTGAATTAATTATTATTGCCTCATTGCTATTATGTGT